TTAATTATCTGGATTATTGAGCATGCATCAGGTTAATAGCATCTTAACTTTTGGTACAGGTCCGCTGCACGACGTCGACAAACTTTACACAAAACTGTGGGAAAACAGTGGAGATCAGTGGAATTTGGATGAAGTCCATGAGAAAACCTCTACAGCTCAGACACATCACTGTAAGAAGATAATTCAACGTTTAAACGGGTCACAGGAAGTTGGACTACATGACTGAACTGCTCTTTGGACACCTTGGACAGTTTAAGATCGTTACAGGTTGTTCCACCGACGGTTGACGATGCCCCACTAACTTCCGAGCAGCAGCTGCATATTTGATTCCCCTCAACATTTACTCAAATGTTCTGGTTCTGAATGCTTCGAACCTGTCGTTCTACTAGATGACCTGAAGCTCTGACTCTTACAGTTCGTTTATAATTACAGAGCTTACTTTAACCTGCATCTTTGAGGAGCTGGCACTGGATATTCCCAGAGGTACAGTTTGGTGTTGATGCCATGATGTTTCCTGTCCTCTGCCTCTCTCCAGGTTTGTTGAGCCCGACCCCAGTCACACTCTGGAGGAAAGAGTGGTCCACTGGTACTTTGCCCAGCTGGATAACAACGGTAGCCATGACATCAACAAGAAAGAGCTGAAGCCTTTCAAAAGGTACTTGAAGAAGAAAGCCAAACCCAAAAAATGTGCCCGCAAGTTCATCGACTACTGTGACCTGAGCAGGGATCGAGCCGTTTCCCTGCAGGAGCTGAAGGGCTGCCTCGGAGTCGGCAAAGAAGGTGAGAGGGGACAACTGGCCATATTAACTTCTGAATAAAACAAATTTATAATTATGTTATATTTAAAAGTTAATAGCAAATGGGTGTTGGCACCGAAAGACTAGAGCTGGACGCCAGCCTTTATACGAGAAGCAGCTATGAATGGATTTGGGGCGTGGCACCTGATTTTATGCATTAGTAACTATTTCATGTTTTTTTCAGACTGTGCATAATATTCACAAACTTAAAAACAGCATACTCTAAAACTAAGTTATACACCTCTAAAATTTTAACAATTGTTGTTTTTCTCGTTTTGCAGGCAGCTCCGTATCAAGTAGCGTCCATGGGACAAGACAAGGACCAAACTTATTCAGTAAGAGAAACCAGTGCGCTCTCATTAGCTCTGTAGTTTCCTCCCTCCATTCCCAGGATGTAACGGTGGAAAAAAAACAAACTATTTGTAGACTTCGCCAGGAATAGCAGTTTATTAACACCAAAAGAATTAATTGCTAAATGAAAACATGAACAAAAAAACAAGTGGGTGATTTCTTTCCTCGTGCGAGCTTCCAAGGATTAAAAGAAGACCAGATGCTTCACAGTACAAACTTAAACGAGGAACAATTTTAAAGAAATGTGCTGCTGCCATCAAATCTAAAATGACTTATTTAGACCCCCTTCAAAGGCAGTGAAGTTCTTTCGGACCCTCTCTGTACTTCATCAGCATCCTCAAAGCAAAGATGGCGTCTGTGGTGCTCTTTCTTGGCATGAAACCATACCGCTGCTCACAGTCGACTCATCTAAGTCTAGCTTCCACAGCTCTCTCCCAGATCTTCATTGTGTGACTCATCAGCTTAATTCCCCTGTAGTTGCTACATCTCTATTCATCACTCTTGTTCTTAAAAATGGAAACCAGCACACTTCTCCATTCCTCAGGTATTTTCTCACCCTCCAATATGCCATTGAATATTTGAGTCAAAACCTCACTGCCATCTACAAAATATTTCCAAACCTCCACTAGTACGTCATCAGGTCCTACTGCTTTCCTCTTCATTTTATTTCAAAGCTTTCTGAACTTCACCCGCACTAATCTTTCCCACTCCTTGGCCCACAGTTTCTATGACCTCTACGCTTCTTTCTCTTTCATCCAGGAGCTCCTCAAAGTACTCCTTCCATCTTCCTTTCACTCTCCTCACTTGCTAGAAGATTACCAGCCCTTCTTTTAAGAAGCCTAACCTGCTGCACATACTTTCTAGCCTGATCTCTCTGTCTTCTCTTCGTAGTGTCACATCAATATCTTGTTTTTGACAGAGAGTTGTTTTATAAGCCTGAATTTTTACACAAAAGGGCCCTTGTTTGGTTAGCTATTGGATTCTTTCTCCATACTCTGTGCTCTATGACTGATGTCACAGCAGATACAGTTTTATAAAGTATTAGAAGGAACATCTCTTTAAAGCTGACTGGACTTCCCCTTTACGCCATGGAAATTCCTCAGGCTAATTGTTGTCGTCTGTATCAAAATGCATCCTAGAGCAAATGGCCCCTAAAGTTTTATTTTATGCTCATGCAGCGTAAAGCGTGCACCAAAGATCTACTCGCATGCAGGGCGAGCACAGATTTATTGGGTTCTGGACAGATCGGGATCCTGAACAGAAAGCTCAGCCGTAAATACTTCATGAGGCCACAGAAGCTGCAGAAGTGAAGTCAGCTGGACGTCTGATTCATTGCTGATCAGGATTAGTATATGCAAGAAGCACACCTTTACATTCCTACCATCACAAGTCGCAGTCAATCTCCTACGCGCACACACACATGCAGACAAAAGCACACGAGGGACCTCTGCTTCGCTTTGACAACCATCTGTAAGCAATCTAAGCTCTTTACTCATCTCCTTTTTCTTCCGGGGCTCTCCTTCGCTTTCTGTCCCCCCCCCCACACACACACACACACAGATGAATGGTGGTCTGCAACACTAAACTGGACTTCAGAAACTTTGATATTAATGTAAAGAGAGTGCATGTTTGAACTGTGCGTTCATGACGCTCAAACAGGTCATGTGTTCGATCAGCCAGAGACTTTTATGATTCAATAAAATGCACTACTTCAGGGCTATTCAACTGGTGGCCCGGGGGCCGAATCAGGTCTACCGATGAACTCGGTTTGGCGCACCAATGGGTTAGTTTTTAAATAAAACTATTTTAAACCATAAAACAAACAACAGCTGGATGTCCGGCCCCTGAGCACTTGGCTTTCTGTAACTGTGGCCCCCTGAGCAGTTTAGTTGAACAGTCTTGCACTACTTGGTTCTGATTTTTGATCTTTCTTTGTCCTTGTCCTCACTTGTCTCTCTGTCCCAGTAGGGCGTCTGGTGTGAGAGGAAAAGTGTCCAGATGATATCGGAGAACACCATGGGAGGGCACATCAAGATGGAGCACAAATAACAACAAAACCAGGAAAAAAATGAAAAGCGACACCAAAATATTTGCACTTTTTCCTTTCTATGACATTTTACTTGTTTTGACAAGTTTTTTTTTGTTAAAGTGTCTGACCCTTTCAGGATGGACAGTAGATCGGTTACGGCTCACCACTGGACAAGTATGTCTTTGTATCTGTATAAATCCCATTTGTTCAGTCTGCTGGTTCAATTTGTCCCTACTGACCACCAGAGGGCGGTGCTGAAAGCACTGAATGTTCCCATCGTGCATGCGCTGTTCAAGTACTAAACAGTACCAACAGAGTCACAGCTGTGACGTATCGGATGATCAGTCAGAGGCTACATAGCCTGACGTCATCCAAGATGCCGTTCCTCTTTTCTTCTCGCTTTAGGTTTGTTCTATTTCTGGGGTTACAATACGTAACCAAGGTTTTGCATGGCATCAACCTTTTGGATCTTGGATCATTTCATTGTCGTCAGACAACCCGTTGGCTGGAGTAGCGGTGTGTCGCCCTCCTAGGGGCTGCAACGGGTTGATCTTCGTTCAAGGTATTTCTGCTGGTTGTTGGGGATGACAGCGGTTGTGCCTCCTCTCCCAACTCATGGTGTCGGACTACTGTGTTGTGATGCACACACTGGTTACTATTGGAGCTTAGCTAACGGGTTAGCTTTAATTGGTGACTGGAACGTCTCACCTCCCAATTTCAGCCAACTTTCTGATGGGAGTTCTGGGTTGAGCTAACTGTGTTAGCCTTTCGTTTTTGTATTGGGTCTTAGTGACAGTAGCAGTAGTAATGGCAGCGTTTTCGCCCCTTCTCCCAGTTTTCTGCCTTTGTTGAGTCGCTGTGTGGCAACACAGAAAAAGATAGAAAAAATCGCTCCAAACACATAAATATACTGGAGCTGCTTGCCGTGCATTTGGCTTTCAGGCACTTTCTACCCCACCTGGAGGGGAAACATGTTTTAATTCGACCAGACAACACCTTTGTTGTCTACCACATCAACCGTCAAGGTGGCACCAGGTCAGTGCAGCTTTTGAAGGTGTCCAGAGATCTCCTGGAATGGGCCTCTCCTCGCCTGTCCACTCTGTGGGCGGTGTACTTACCAGGGCAGCACAACCAGGTCGCAGACTCTTTTCCGCCAGGTGCAAGCTTCAGGAGAGTGGTCCCTTCACAGCGCCGTAGTGCTCATGATCTGAGATCTGTTCACCACGGAGGAGTCGACTCATTGCCCTCTATGGTATTCCCTTACAGGATGCTTTGGCTCATCCTTGGCCAAGGGTCCTCCTATACGCTTTTCCACCCCTTTCTCAGATTTGGTCTACTCTTCAGAGGGTTCTCGAGGAGGGCCACAGGATGTTGCTGGTGGCTCCGTATTGGCCAGCACGGCCATGGTTCCCACTGCTATGGAGTCTGTGTCATGGCGTCCCATGGTGTCTTCCAACCAGGAAGGATTTGTTGTCTCAGTTGGGGAGACTGATATGGCACCCCAATCCCTAACATCTCCGGCGGCTCCTGTCAGACGCACCATTTTGAGCACCAGGGCATCATCTACTCATCAGGAAAATGAAAACAGGTGGTGGTAAATGGACTGTACATGGACTGTACTTGTATAGCGCCTTTCTATCTTATCGAGATACTCAAAGCGCTTTACACTACAATCTGTGTCCTCATTTACCCATTCATACAGCACTCTACTAGATCTCTACAAAGCTAATTGAACAAATCATTCTAAAGAGACTAATCAGAGCTTTATCACATTCAAACACCGATGGGACACACATCGGAGGCAACGACGGGTTCAGTGTCTTGCCCAGGGACACTTCGGCATGTGACTACTGGTGGATTCGAACCCCCAACTCTTGCAATGGAGGACGACTGCTCTAACCACTCAGCCACAGCCGCGGAGGTGGAGGCATACACTGGGGCTACTGCTGCTATGAGACCCTCAGAGCAGCTGTTCTTGTGTTATGGAGGCCCTAGGTTGGGTTGTCCTCTTTCCAAGCATTGTCTCTCCCACTGGATTGTGGATGTCCTCTGCCACGCCTACGCTGCAGGACGCTGCTCCTTGATGGTCAGCGTGAAGGCACACTGGAGCGTCTCCGCTTCCTGGGCAGCTTTGAGAGGGGTTCCACTGGAAGCGATATGCGCTGCTGCATCAAAGGCTTCCCCGAGCACGTTCACCAGGTTCTACAATGTCAACGTGGCCACCCCTCATCCTCTGGGCCAAGTTCTTCTGCAAGGGTCCTCTGGGCCTTCTCAGTGAGGTATGTGCTCAGGATTCATTGTGACATTGCTGGTATTAGTCATTCAGGGCTTTCAGCACCGCCCTCTGGCGGTCAGGAGGGATGAAATGGAATGAAAGTTACGTATGTAACTACGGTTCTATGAATCCCAGATGACCGCCAGAGCTTCTCTGTCACTCAGAATCCTTGCATTCTTCGAGAAGATTCTGTAGGAACAGCGCCTGGAATGACGTCGGGCTCTAAAGCCTCTGACTGATCATCCGATGTGTCACCGCTGTGACGTATTACTTCTTGAATGGCGGTGCGATGGGAACATTCAGTGCTTTCAGCCCCGCCCTCTGGCGGTCAGCCGGGATTCATAGAACCGTAGTCGCATACGTAACTTTCGTTTCATTTCGTCTCCATGTAACTCTCACAGACAGTTTGATGTGTTGTAAATATGTTAAACGTGTTAGAGACCCTGTTAGGAATACTGCAGCAGCTCCGAGACGAATCGGATCAGGTTTCACTTGACGAATCTGGAAGTCTTTACAGGTCTTTGACACTTAAAGTCCCTTTTGTGCCATCCAAAATGTATTTGTTGTCTGCACTAAATGTTTACATTTGAACAGGTCTGTAAACAAAACACAATAATTACAAACACATTTTAAAGCAAAAGGGGAATAAGAATTATTAAGACGTTTGTATAAAAAAGAATTCATGTGTAATTAATAAAGGTACTTTTACTAAATCACTGAGCAGCATGTGACGGTAAAAGATTTAATTTGGGTTTGTCTTTAAGAAAACAAAGGCTCAGATCACTGATTAAAGAAACACTGGAATGAAACACTGCGGCGCTGGGCAGGAGTCCTGGCAGCCATCTTGTAAGGAGTGATGTACGAGTCCAAAAACGGCCAGAAATAATCATTTTACTTAAATAAACGCAAAGTGAAAACAGACAAGTGTTCTGTAATGAGCTGCCCGACAAGTCCGATCAGAGTCACCGGAAGTGCTGCGATTATTGCAAACAGAACCGGAACAGAACCGGGCTTCAAGTACTGTACGTGTTTGATTACACCAACCAGAACTTTGCTTCCAGGTCTAATAACTTCGAAAGAGGAGGTAAATTTGGGGTGGAGGATATAAATAACGAACCACTTTTTATTACAATTTTATAAATTTTTTACATTCATTTTTAACTTTTGATTCTTTTAAGACGTGCAAGGTAAAAAATATGTGCACTGAAACGGATTTCCAATCTGAAAAGATCAAATTTTATTGATGAATATATAAATATTTAGTGTGAGGACAAACGTAGCACAAAAGTAAGGAACTGTATATTTAAGTTGATTATTTCTTTATGTCAACACTTCTGGGCAATAAATCATAAACTGTTGGAGGGCCTGTTTATTGTCCATCGCAGGGCGGAGACATTAGACATGCGCTCTGTCCATATCGTGTGCATGTTGAGTTGAAAAACAAGCGAGTTACCGACCTCCATTAAGTGTGCGGCTGCGTCTAGGCGTATGAAACGTCGTCCATCATCTTCTGAAGTCGGGTCTCGGGGGCAGCAGCTTGAGCAGGGAGGTCCAGACATTGGCCTCCTCTTCCTGCTCTTCTGGGAGGACTCCAAGGCGTTCCCAGACCAGCTGAGGGCGTAGTCTCTCCAGTGTCCTGGGTCTTCCTCTGGGTGTCCTCCCAGCTGAACATGCCTGAAGCACCTCCATAGGGAGGTGCTCGGGGGCATCCACCTCAACTGGCTCCTCTCGACGTGGAAAAGTCTCTGATTTCAGCTTTTTTTCACATTTCCACGTTTTTGTGCTCGTTTTTGCTTCTTTCTGATTTCTTATGCTAACATAAGCTTGTTCTACCTTTTCAGCTCATTTTAGCTGTTTTCAGATTAATTCAAGTTTTTCTTGGTAATTTCTGCTATTTTCAGCCAAATTACCTTCCTTCTGCTAATTTCAGCTTATTTCTGTTGGTTTCAGTTATTTCAGCTATTATTTAGCTGTTTTTCTGCTAATTCCACTTTTTTTGTTCATTTCAGCTCTTTGTGCTCTGGTAGTTTAAGCTTCTTTCTGACTTGTCAGCAATTTTCCGCAATTTTTTTTTATGTTGCTAATTTTAGGGTTTTTTTTAGCCAATTTCCTAATTTTTGTGATAATTTATGCTTATTTAATCCTAATTCAGCAAGTATGTATTTCTGCATTCTTCTGTTAATTTAGGCTTGTTCTTCCATTTCACCTACATACATTTCAGCTTTTTTTAAGTTAATTTTAGCTGTTTTTTTTAGCAATAAGCGTTCACACTGCATTTTTTCAGGAAATGCTGTTTCTCTAGTTTCCCTTGGGTTGAGCTCACGTCCAGCCCTGAAATGTGCACCTTGAGTTTGACGTGTTTATTTGATTTGTGCTGTGGGTATTTTACGTCTTCATCACTCCCACCTGTCAGAAACATCTGCAGCATCTGGGCGTTTCTAATTGAACCAAGAAGGAGAAAAGCACCTCGGCTGTCCTCGAGACCTGCGCCTCCTCTCCTGAATGCTCCTTTCAGTCCGGGTTGGAGCACAAAGTTCACGTGTGTCTGCTGAAGTGCTTCCAGATGTTGCAGGACCTGAGACGAGCTGCTGCTGAACGTCACTCTGACACCGAGGGGACGGTTCTGCTCCTCAGCCTCGGCAGCCTCATCAAACAGAACCCTGTCTGAAGAAACAACCACAGACACGTCTTCTATCTGAATAAAGTTGGTCTTCACGAGGCTCCACGTACATCCATGTGCGCTTACTGGACTTCTGGAGCAACGGTACTGGTCCAACTGAAACATGTTCGCCTCTCATGAACCCGTGGAGAAATCCAACAGCTGTGCCGCTCTCTTCACCTGAGTGTCCAAGACTGAACCGTAGGTCCGATATCATCGACCTTTGACCCACAGGTGGCCATCTGGTTCAAGTCCACTTAAGGACCATCCTCTGTTTGAACACTGAATGATCTATGAAGTGAGCTTGAGTTTCAGGTGCAACATGTCAGATCACTCATGAAGAAACATCAATGTTTTTTTTTTTTACAAAGACAAAACTTTCAAATGAAATTTGAAGAGAAACGGCTCCAACAGGTCGAGGTTTGGTCGACACCAGGTGGATCAGTGAATCCTGGATCCACACGAGACCTGGTCCAATGGTCCAAAACTTCTTGAGCACCTTCTGAAATTGAAGTGAGACACCAGCGGTCTCAACTAAACTCGTAAAAGTCACGATCAGGACCTGGTTTGTTGAGCACGAGCATCAATGTTTGTCAGAAGCGTAACAAAAGTAATTTTTAATTTCTTTAAGCTTTAGCTCGACCCGTGCTGTAAAAGATGATCATGAAAGCGAAGCAGGTTTTTTTTAACATCTTTTGAGAATCTGAACCAACTCTCGTCTCGATGAAACTGGAAGCAGCTGCAGTCCATCTGTCTGAACGGACACGTGTGGAAATTGACTTCTAGTGTGAAGTTCAAAGGCTTTTATAATGATGCCGCGTGCACGTGTGTGTGTGTTTCGTGTGGTTTAAAACGTCATTTAGCGCAGGAGCAGCATTTCAAACTGAATTCTGAACAACTCTTTAACCCAAAGTGATTTTAGTCCGACAGGATCTGAACTGCAAGAAGAATGAGCAACATCTGCACAAACTCATATTTCAGAACTGGTGAGGACCAGGAGCTGGGAGTTGGAGCGCCCCCCAGTGGCTGGCTGCAGGCTGGCAGGGGGGTCAAGGATATTGGTCATTAATGTGAACTGCCCATGAACCATGTGTTTGAGTGAGCAGCTGAACGAGGAGCTGCTTTGATGCTGCATGTGCAGCTCCAAGGTCGGCTCGAGTCTGGAGGAGCTGATGAACGTGTATTCTAAAAAACCACCGTGGCACACCGGCCAGTTGCAGATGTTTGCCACCGGGGCTTCAATGTAACATCTGTGTAAGCCTGTGTGAACTCTGCCCTCGCAAGTAAAATGGTTTTTAAAACATCTGTCTTCGTGTGCGACTCTTTAAGTAAGTAGATGATGAACGAATGTTTTTATCCAACACGGACCCCCACAGGTAAAACAAAGAGACGTAACAGCTTAAACCTCCGCTGCAGGTACTTCCCCAGGTTTGTTAGTTGATTCATACACTTCCTGCCCTGCTGCTGTACGTTCAAACAAACATCTGTCCAATCAGTTATTTTAAGAAAAGTCATGTTGCGCTGTGATTGACAGCTGGTGGTGATTCAGCCGTGATGTTGAAGCTTTCTGCTCTGCTGATCATTTGATGAACACCTAAAGCAGCTTTGGCCTCCGTGCACGGGTCTCAGAGTTGTATGAGCCACTACAATAATAATATTAAACTATTTAAAACTAATAAAATGCCAGAAAGCTGTGTGCTACAGATGTAGCAACAGAGGAGAAAAAGGGAAAACTCCTTCCACAAGTCAGTAGATTTGATTTTATTTAGCTCGATGTGATCTGACCAGAAATGAAGCTCACACGCACACACACACACACACACACACACATGTGAGTGGTTAAATTAGGGACTCGAGCAGTGATTTGTGGCTATAAGAGGCACAGCCTGCACATGCGCATAATCAGAGAGTGATCAGGAGGAAAAGACACCAGAGGAGTCAACGGAGCAGAGGTAAGTCACAAGTTTAATCTCTGTATGCCTAAAGCGTGTGGAAAAAGTGCCACAACTTCACGACACTTCTCCCTTTTCTCATGTCAAGTCCAAGAAGACCCGACGACAAAAGTTTAATTTACTGGTCGTCAAACTCATCCCAGTTCCAATAACGCACTGAATGGAAGACGACACACCGAACAGTCACGTGCCAGGGAGACGGAAAAGTGACATCCGCAACAACAAAATTAGAGAGTGTGAAGCAGAACAACTCAGGAACAAAGTTTCAGTCTGCCTCAGCACTGCTAAACCACCTTCCAACATCAGCTGAGAGGGACGCACTCACCACTCTCAGCAAGGAGTTATTTCTTTTAATGTTGATGATTATAACTGACAACTAATGAAAACTCCAAATTCAGTATCTCAGAAAATTGGAATATTACTTAAGACCAATTAAAAAAGGATCTTTAGAAATGTTGGCCAACTGAAAAGTATGAACATAAGTAAGAGCATGTGCAGCATCAGTACTTAGTTGTTGCTCCTGTTGTCTGGATTACTGCAGCAAAGCGTCGTGGCATGGAGTCCATCAGTCTGTGGCTCGGCTCAGGTGTTCTGATCTTCATCTCTTCTGAATTGTTGGGTCTGACGTATCACATCTTCCTCTTCACAATACCTCATAGATTTTCTATGGAGTTAAGATCAGGTGAGTTTGCTGGCCAATTAAGAGCAGGGATACCATGGTCCTTAAACCAGGTACTGGGAGCTTATGCACTGTGTGCAGGTGCCAAGAACTACTGGAAAATGAAATATGCATCTCCATAAAGTTGGTCAGCAGCAGGAAGTCTCTAAAACTTCCTGGTAGACGACTGCGTTGACCTTGGACCTCAGAAAACACAGTGGACCAACACCAGCAGATGACCTGGCACCAAACCATCACTGACTGGAAACTTGACACTGGACCTCAAGCAACGTGGATTCTGTGTCTCCTCTCTTCCTCCAGACTCTGGGACCTTGATGTCCAAAGGAACTGCAACATTTACTTTAATCAGAACAAAACTTGGACATGTCCTCTGCTGGTGTTGGTCCAATAACTGGAGGTAAAGTCTCTGTTGGAGGGTTTGTTGATATTTGGACTTCTGAGATTTTTTTTTTTTAAGGTGCTTCACAATTACTCAACAATTTAAGAAGAAATTAAATAAAATCAAGAATTAAAATAAGCAGACTGAAGACATTAACAAAATGTTTTACAAGAACTGTGTGTCAAATATTTATATTTAATTTATGAGACCTAAAGAACAGACCATAAAAAAAATCTAACATGGTTTATGTGAAATTGATTGTTTTTACTGCATTTTTTTATGTAATGTGAATTTAGATTTATTTATTTTTTTGTCTGATTTTGTCATCTGGTTGATTCCATTTGATTTTTCTAATTTGTGTAAAATTTTGTCAAAACCAAAACTTTAAGACAAGACTAAAATATTGAGGCTAAAAATACTCCCGTTTTATTATTTTAATGCATTTATTGTTTCTAAACGTCATTTGGAGCTTGAAAATAAATAAAACAAAAATAATAGTCCAGTTTATTTTATTTTGATTTTAGACTTTTATATAAAAAAAAATCTGAAATAATCATGAATCGGCTAAAATTGTTTATATTTCATGTTTTTTTTATGTGAATTTAATCAATTTATCGTTTAACTGATGATTTCCCTGCAAAGATGAGTTGAATTTGTCCGACAGTATTTGAACGCAGCATCGTGCAGCCGCCCGGCAGACCTGCAGGCAGACGTCACAGATCCTGGATCAGCGGAACTTCGAGTCCTGAAGCCGGTATGAACACGGAGGAGACCGAACTGGAGATGAAGGAACCCGAGAACCAAGTCTCGGACCTGAAAGACCCGAAGGATCCGGATCAGCAGGCCGCTGCGGACCCTGATGCTACGGAGGCCGACGTGAGTCAGGCAGACCTGGACCAGGAGGAGCAGGAGAAGCAGCCCATGACCGGAGCTCCGTGTGCTGGTGAACAGGAGGAGGAGAAGGAGAAGAACGGTTCAGTGAAGGTGAAGATCCTGGAGGAGACGGAGGAGAAGTTCACGGGCCTGAATAAGGAGGAGCTGCTGAGGGTGGCAGGAACCCCGGGGTGAGGACCAGACCACAATGATGCTAGACAGACAGACAGGAGGACAGACAGACAGGCAGGAGGACAGACCGACAGGAGGACAGGCCGACAGGAGGACAGACAGACAGGCAGACAGACAGACAGGAGGACAGACAGACAGGCAGGAGGACAGAGAC